TCCAAAACCGACAGTGGCCGCTGTTGGGCAGGCGAACTTTCGTCTCAAACGGACAGCGTCCGCGTCGACGCGGACAACGAGTCCTGTTCAAAATGAAGAAGAGCTGCTGCTGGCATTCGCTATTACCATTCTCACAGCACCTATTTCGATTGTACCGATCCTTCGCAAGATCGGACAACATCTTTGCGCTGGGGCAAGCCTCCGCAGAGAGCGGCTCGGAGAACCTCTCGCCGTACTCCCTGAAGAACTTCGTGGCGTACGGGCAGCTGAACATCTCGCCCAGGACGACGAGCTCGGCGCCCATGCCCACGGCCTTCACGAGCGCCGCTTTTGCGTTCTCGAGGCTGACCGCCTTGTCCTTGCTGACAGCTGTCTGGCAGAACCCCATCTTGAACTTTGCGTTGGACCCCACCTGCGCGACGGAAAGAAGCGAGCCCCACGCGAGAAGACAGCCGGCCCTACGCCGCGGCTTGCGAGGGCCGCCAGCGTGGCACACCGCGTGGAAAAGAGGGCGTTCACTGGCGACCTTACACGCGAAGCCTACGCGCGAACGTCTACGTCGCGAGACGGAGACGAGGAGGGGCCCCCAGAGGGCGAAGACGAGGAGAGGCCAGATCGGCATCTGCATCTCCCCAGAGATTCGACGTGTTCACTGCTTCAGTCTGGAATGCCACACCTCCATCTCCCCAGAAATCCGCCGTCGCGATATTTTCAGTACGGAAGTCCTGACCCCTTCCCCAGGGCCAGATTCTCATCCTGAATCGTGCTTTGACGGTCCAAGGGCCTGGCGAGGGCCTCCAGCGGCAGAAAACGACGAAAACATGTTGTTGTTGTTGTTGTTGGTGGTGGTGGTGGTGGTGGTGGTGTTGTTGTTGGTGTTGGTGTCGTTTTTGTCGTCGTCGTCGTCGTCGTTGTTGTTGTTGTTGTTATTGTTGTTGTTGTTGTTGTTGTTGAACTCTCATTTCTGAGAAATCATTATTGTTGATTCTCCCCGTCCGCTGCACATTGTTTTTTTCGATTGAAGTGCCCTTCCCGGGGCTCGCACCCTGCTGTATATCAGGGAAAGTCTTGAAAGTCAAACTGTGTCGTTGGCACCCGGTTTACAACAACAACGGCTCCCGCCTGAGACTTCCTTACAATTAGCCAGGACCCCCGCTCCCGCCCGAGACTTCCTCGCGTTTTATTCAGGAGCCGGCTCTCGCTTGGGACTTCCTTAAAATTTATTATCCCGGCGCTCTGGAGTCGCGCTCTCGCTGGAGACTTGCTTGCAATTTACTGAAGAACAGCGCCCTTTGGTTGAAATGTCCTGCAATTTACTCAAGCGCCGCGCTCCCGACACCCAGGCACCCAGGAGTCGCGCTCACGCCTACGAGCCCCTCACAGATTACATAGGGATCGGGATATTGCTGCCCTTCGTGGCCCCGTTGCAGCCCTTCGTGGCCCCTCTCGCGTTGTTTCGTGGCCCCCTCGCTGCCCTTCGTGGCCCCGTTGCAGCCCCTCGTGGCCTTCTCGCTGCCCTTCGTGGCCCCGTTGCAGTCCTTCGTGGCCCCCTCGCTTTGTTTCGTGGCCTCGTTGCAACCCTTCGTGGCCCCCTCGCTGCCCTTCGTGGCCCCGTCGCAGCCCTTCGTGGCCCCGTTGCAGCCCTTCGTGGCCCCCTCGCTGCCCTTCGTGGCCCCGTTGCATCCCTTCGTGGCCCCCTCACTGCCCTTCATGGCCCCATACATGTATGCCCTTCGTGGCCCCCGCTCGTTCGCGCCCGTTGTGGCCCCAATATGCATATGTCCTACGTGGCACAATTGCTACCCTCAGTGGCCATCGTTGCCTTCTGTGGCCCCGCATTATCTGCCCTTCGTGGCCCCCGCTCGTTCGCACTCTTCGTGGCCCCATACGCATTCCCTTCGTGTCCCCGCTTATGCCCCTCGTGGCATACTTCGTGTCCTTGTGGCCCTGCTGTCGTTCTCTTTCGCTCTAGCTTTCGCTCGTCGCCGTCATCGTCGACGTCGTCGACGTCGTCGTCGTCGTCGTCGCCGTCGACGTCGTCGTCGTCGTCGTCGTGTTCGGTCCCCTGTCCGTCCCTCTTGGGGTCGGGTCGACGGTCCGCGGCCACCCCGCCGATCAGCGCTGCCGCTGGCCAAGCCGACGGTCCGCGCCCGCCCCGCCGCTTGCCGGGGCCCGGCCTGCAGGGAAGGAAGGTGTACCCCCCAAAAAGGGTTCGATCGAAGACGAAAAGGGCGGGTATCGATGGTTTGGGAAATAAGCGTTATTCGACACTCGAGCAGATAAGGGCGAACAGTCTTAAAATGATTGTTGTTGTTGTTGTTGAAATCTCCTTTTCTGAAGAATAATTATTGCTGATCCCTCCTCCCTTGGTGCAAACTGTCTTTTCTCAATCACAGTGTGCCCCTCGACGCTCGCCTGTTTTGTGACAAGGGAATTTTTCCTGCTCAAACTGAACCCCTGGCCCCCCGGATTACAACAACAACAACAACAACAACAACTAGCACGTGGGGACACTCCGTTCTCACCAGTGCCAGGGTTTTCATAGGAGGCGGGCAATACCCCCACTTTGTGGGGGGGCCGGTTCAAGCTCTACCAAATTTCCAAACGACTCTTCGCCACCACCCACACCCAGCTTCCCGCCCTATGACGTTCGGACACTTCACTTCGTGGCATGCGGACGACCGTGGCTACTATTCAGGGCCCCGCGGCCGACGACGACGGCGTGCGCGCGCGAAGAAAAAACGAATGTGTCCCGCATGGTATTATTTGACAGGGATGATGGCCCTGGCAGGTGCGCAACCGTTGTTGCAGAAGTTCGAAAAAGTTGCTCGCAAAAGCCCGTTTGACAGAAATGTTTAAAAAGTGTTGGGTTTCCTACGAATCCGCAAGAGCGCGCGGGATGAAATTTTGACATTTTTTTTTGAAAAACCATTGTTGTTTTGATGTTTTTATGTTAAAATCGCTACGAAAACTAAGGTTTTGGAAGGATTTCGTCTTGCGCGCGCGAATGTCCACTTTACCTTATTTTTTTGCAAGGGATTCTTGAAGTTTGGATATGTTAGAACAAGAAATGTCCACTTTAGCTTATTTTTTGCAAGGGAAAACCGATCGTAACAACACAACCGGATCCGGACCAACCCGTTTTGCCTGAGACTTCCTCGCGAAAATGATGAAAACGTGGCTGCGGCCTAGGCGCGGCGGGGGGGTCGCGCACCAGGGGCCCCAACAATAATTATTCTTTAGAAGTAATAATGTTCAACAACAACAACAACAACAACAACAATCATTTTACCCGAACGCTCAGTGTTCTCCCCAGTGCCAGGGTTTTCTTGCGACACCAGCCAATACCCCCACTTCGTGGGGGGGCCGTTCAAGCTCTACCAAATATCCAAACGACTCTTCGAGACCACCCACACCCAGCTTCCCGCCCTATGACGTTGGGACACTTCACTTCGTGGCGTGCGGACGACCCTGGCTACTACACTGGCGTGGGGTACACACCCACAGAGGTTGATCACATCTGTTACATATGATGTGGTACACGGTACACGTGAGATGGTACGCAGTGCCAAGATAGTTGGTCACATTTTTGGGGCAAATTCGTGGGGATGCGATTACAGAAGTACATGTGTTACACTGATGTTATACAGTCCCAAGGATGACGCATGCATTGACGACATGCGCGCGCGGCGGCCGCGCGCATGTGCACTTCGTCTCATTTTTTGCAAGGGATGGTGGCCCTCGCAGGCGCGCAACCGTTGTTGGAGAAGTTCAAAGCACCTGAAGAAGTAGCACGCAAAGACCCTTTTGACAGAAATGTTTAAAAAGTGGTGTGTTTCCTATGAATCCGCAAGAGCGCGCGGAAGGACATTTTGACAATTTTTTCTTAAAAAACCATTGGGTTTTTGATGTTTTTATGTTAAAATCGCTACGAAACCTAAGGTTTTGGAAGGATTTCGTCTTGCGAGCGCGAATGTCCACTTTACCTTATTTTTTGCAAGGGATTCTTGAAATTTGATCAACTAAGAACAAGAATTTTCATTTTCTATTGTTTTTTGCAAGGGAAAACGAGCGTCAACAAAAAACCGGATCCGGGGGTAATCCACTTTTCTGAAGCTTTCGCAGAAAATGATGAAAATGTAGCTGCGGCCTAGGTTTTGGGCGGGGGGCGTGCACCAGGGGGTCCAACAATAATAATTCTTTAGAAGTAATAGTGTTCAACGGCTCCCGCCTGAGACTTTCTCCAGATTTACTCAGGACCCCCGCTCCTTAGACTTCATCATAATTTACTCCGGATCGGTGTTCCCGCCTCTGACCTCCTCGCAATTTAATCAAGACCCCCGCTCCCATCCGAGACTTCCTCACAATTTACTCAGGAACGGCGCTCCCGTTTGAGACTTCCTCGCAATTGAGTTAAGACTTCCTCGCACTTTAATCGAGCCCCCGCGCCCGCCAGAGAACCCCCTACACTTTATTTAGGAATTGCGTTTTCGCCTGCGACCTCCATGCAAATGATTTAGAAATCGCGGTTTCGATGCTCAGGAAACACGCTGCGCCAAGGACGCCGCTACAATTTATTTAGTACGCGCGCTCTCGCCATACTCAGGCATCCCGCTGGAATGTCACACCCGCCCGACCCGCCCGTCAGGGGATCGCCCGCCCGTCGTGGGCTCCCGCCCGAGACTTCCTTCAGGAACGGCGCTTTCGCCTAGGTTCCTCGAACGTTCACGGTCTTACCTTCCTGCTCCTCCTCCCTCCTCTCCTCCCTTTTCTCTCCCCCCGCTCTTCCCTCATCCTTCTGCCTCTCAGCCCTATCCCCTCTCCCTCCTTTTCCCTCCTCCCGTCTCCCTCCCTCTCCTGCCTCCTCCCTCCCTCTTTCTTTTTCTCTCTCTCTCTCTCTCTCTCTTTCACCTCTTTCTCTCTCCTTCTCTCTCTCTCTCTCTCTCTCTCTCTCTCTCTACCTCTCTCATATGGCATTATATTTTTCTTTGTTTTCTCTATTCCTCTTTCTCTCTCTCTCTCTCTCTTTCTCTCTCTCTCTCTCTCTCTCTCTCTCTCTCTCTCTCTCTCTCCACCTCTAATCAACCACCCCCCCTCTTCGCTCCTTCTCTCCTTGCGTTGTCCCTCTTCCTTCGTCCCTCCCCCTCCCTTCCTCCCACTCTCCTTCGTTCTTCCCCTCCTCTTTCTGCAGGGCCCACACCAATTCCACTGGCGGGCACATGTACGCCTACGAAAGATTGTCCGCCCGTTCAGGTTTGCCCGCCCGTCTAAGCCCGCCGCCCCCCGCAAAGAGAACGAATGACACACGGGCAAATAAGAGCGAACAGTCTTAGAAAGATTGTTGTTGTGCAACGCTACTTACTGAACAGTTATTATTGTTGGACCCCCCAAAGCTTTTTGGCGCTCTCGCAT